ACATCTTATAATTAATGTATTTTTGTTGACTACTGTCTATCCTTCTATTCTATGAGTCCAGAGACCACAACTTTTAGCTTAATAATTTTTATCCAGTGTTGTCACAGTGCCTTAAACATAGAATATTCTTTGTCAATTGCACTGAGTGAATAAATAAATGAGAAAAAAAAGGAAGGAGACAGAATATAATGAAAGAGTTATGAAGAGATGCATAAGTGGGCATATTTTTCTTCACAATGTTGTTTATGATTAACCACAACTGGAGAATCAATTAGTTAATGAAAATGTTATTGTACACCTATTTTGTGCAAGACTGTGAAGGATGCCAAGGTCTAAATAGTACAGTTTCTTCCTTATTGGAGTTTTTTTTTTTTTAAAGATTTTATTTACTTATTGGACAGACAGAGATCACAAGTAGTCAGAGAGGCAGGCGAGAGAGAAGAGGAAACAGGCTCGCTGCTGAGCAGAGAGCCCGACGTGGGGCTCGATCCTAGGACCCCGGGATCAAGACCTGAGCCGAAGGCAGAGGCTTTAACCCACAGAGCCACCCAGGCACCCCTGAAGTTTATTTTTTTTAATTTAAATTCAGTTAGTCAACATATAGAACATCATTAGTTTCAGATGTAGAGTTCAGTAATTCATTGGTTGCATATAACACCCAGTGCTCATCACATCATGTGCCCTCCTTAATGCCCGACCCAGCTACCCCATACCCCCACCTACCTCCCTTCCAGAAACCCTCAGTTTCTTTCCTATAGTTAAGTATCTCTTATGGCTTGTCTCCCTCTCTGATGTCTTCCTATTCCATTTCTCCCTCCCTTTCCCTATGATCCTCTGTGCTTCTCTGGTATTCCTCATATGAGTGAAACCATATGGTAATTGTCTTTCTCTTATTGACTTACTGGAGTTATAATATAGTTTGTGTATAAAAGTTGGTGCATGGCCCGAATGTTTATAGCAGCAATGTCCACAATAGCCAAACTATGGAAAGAACCTAGATGTCCATCAACAGATGAATGGATAAAGAAAATGTGGTATATATATATACAATGGAATACTATGTAGCCATCAAAAGAAATGAAATCTTGCCATCTGCGATGACGTGGATGGAACTAGAGGGTATCATGCTTAGTGAAATAAGTCAATCGGAGAAAGACAACTATCATATGATCTCCCTGATATGAGGAAGTGGAGATGCAACGTGGGGCGTTAGGGGGGTAGGAGAAGAATAAATGAAACAAGATGGGATCGGGAGGGAGACAAACCATAAGTGACTCTTAATCTCACAAAACAAACTGAGGGTTGCTGGGGGGAGAGGGGTCGGGAGAGGGGGGTGGGGTTATGGACATTGGGGAGGGTATGTGCTATGGTGAGTGCTGTGAAGTGTGTAAACCTGGCGATTCACAGACCTGTACCCCTGGGGATAAAAATACATTATATGTTTATAAAAAAATAAAAAATAAAAATAAATTTAAAAGTTGGTGCATGGAAAAGAGTATAAAGTAGATAGATTAGATAACAAGACAATATGGCAATATGAGAGCTGTCGCAGTACAGAATATAATTGTCAGATGTATATGACATGAACTAAAGGTATTTTAGGAGTTCAGAGGAAGGGAAAATCCCTTTGAACTAGCAGGAAGTTTTCTTGGAGAGAAAGGGACAGGGATTTGTTTTATTGGTGTATTTACCCTCTGTTGTTACATATTCCCCTGAGAGTAGCAGAAAATCTGCAGAACTTGCCTGACTTATTTTCATGGGTGGACCTGGAAAGGGATTCCCTAGCTGGCATCCAGTAACTACTGATCTTTCATGAGTACTTAATTTGCATGTAGTTCCCAGCCAGAGGGAAGGTGCAAGCCCAAGCTTGTGGAGGATAGTAACTGGATGTACTATTAGAGTCACACGTATTTTCAAATATGTCATGTTGTTTTTTGATGTTGGAGTTCAAACCAAGGACTCCACATAGGATCTGATTTTATGGTGAACTTTTTCCCCATCTTAGCTTAGACTCTCTTATTTTAAACAGAATAATCTCTAAAAAAAAAAAAAATCTATTCTTAGGTTTGGGCTGTGAAAAGGGAAGGATTCAATTAGTTTTTGTAATTTGGACTAAATGTAATGTTACTGAGTTCTCAGTAGAAGAGTATAAACAGTACATTAATTTTCTCCAGAAATTGCTGACAGTGGTGATTAGGTGTCCAAAAAAGGAACAGTCTTTCAGTAGCTGGAAAAAAAGTATCTCTCAAGAGATGATATTTTATGAGGTTTTGATTCTGGAAATAAAAGATGTATCTGATGTCTTCTTTCGGGGTTTCCTTCCCCAGGACTCTCTACCCATCACCAACCTGAACATCTATCATCTAAGTATAAGGGTTTTCAGTGTCACTTACTATACTTAAGAACGAGCACAAGATCTAGTGCCAGATTCCCCAAGTTCATATGCTAGAACCAGCACTTATAATGCCACGTTAGACAAGTTTACTTAAGTGTCCTGACACAGTTTCTTTATCTTAAAATGAGGCTGATGAGAATTTTAGAAATATTTCACTCCTACGGTGGTATGGGGTTTGAACAAAGGAACTGGCTCAATGCATACCCTGTACTATGGACTTAGTACATGTAAGCTATTCTTAGTGGTCACACCAATACTGTACTCTACCAGAATCTACCCATTTTTAAAACAGAGGTCAACTCCTCAGGGAACGATCATCTTGCTAATAATCACATTTTAGTTTGAATAGATTCTTAGCATTTCCTTATGGTCTGATATGATCAGAATCTTGATCTTTTCCCCAAACGCCATTATGTGCACAGTTCAGAATTTCAGAGGACAGTTATATGAAGTGCTGATGACCTTAACATCAGGTTTTCTCCCTGTTCCCTGAAATATGGAAATAAAATGAGCTCAGAGAAGCTTAGTGAAATCATAAGTGACAGAACTCAAAAGTGATCAAAATCCCTGGAACGACCATACAAAAGAGGGTCACCACTGGAGTCTCCTGGCTCCTTCCCTGCTTTCGGATTCCCATGGATTTCTGTTTATACTTGTCAACGTTGTTTGCAGATAAAACAAAACAATGTGTTATTATCCCTTTACCATATTGTTGATTCTTAATTCATTTATTCATTCATGGATTTATTCAAACATGCATCAAGTATTTACTGTGGGTCAGGCAGTGTTCAAAACTCTGAAGGTAAAAAGATGGGTCAGACACATTCCCTACCATCATACAGCTCACAGTCTAGAGTGGGAAAGGCACAACTGTGAACCAGTATGACAATCACTGTAACAGCCTCACGTGCAAGATGCTAGGGTGGCCCAAATAAAGGAGTGCTGAACTTCGAGGAGGGCAAGTCACAGATAACTTATTTGTCCCTAGAGTGTCTGGGTGCTAACAGAATTGTCATTTAAGGACTTGCCAGAGGAAAGAAGTTCATTGTAGGGAGAGGAAATGAATGTGCAAAGCCATAAAGGTGTGAACCAGTCCAGTGGGATTGGGAAAGAGCTAGTCATTCAGTAGATAAGAAAATAGGCTTTGAATGTAGAGGTGGGGCAAGGGTTAATGAAGGCATAAGACTGTGGAGCTGACACCGAGGGAGATACTGGGCTTGAAGCAGGAGTTAACATACTCAGATTTGCCTTTTAGGAATATCACCCTAGTTGGTAGCATTGTGGCAGAACAACTGAGAGGAGAGAAGAGGGCAGAATCACAGAAACGTGCCAGTGACGGGATACTGCAGAGGCCCAGGCATGAGTTTCAAAAGAGCTCAATTCAAACCACAGCAGTAGAATTGGAGGAAGGGAGGGAGATTCAATATTTAGTTGATAAAACCTACTGAGCATTATTACTAGTTTAAAGGAGTCAGAGAGAGGGAGAAATCTTGTGGGGAGGGAGGCAGTATTCTATCCCTTTCCCAAGAATGTCATATGGGGAGGGGGGCTAGATTTACTGGGAGGTGGGCCTTATGTAAACTTATGTGGACCTGTAATTTCTGATTTCTGACTCAGTCCAGTGCTTTTTACTGTGAGGCACAACCTCAACAGGTTTTGGGAATTAGGTTCCAGAAAATCGGCTCACTGAGCCTCCAAACCTTCAACAGCTCTGGCTGGAAAAGCTGAGTAATAAAATGCCAATGGTATGGAGTGTGATGAAACTTTTTCCCAAAGTTGGTCCCAGTTGTGAAAGTCTGCCTGCAACACAAAGGTGACTAACCAGTGCAGGGTATCAGAGTCAAAGGACACCCGTTGTTACTCATTGTGTCAAATGCTTTAGTAATGGGGTAATCGTTTAAGAAAACAATGAGTTGATACAAATAGTGGGCTAGTTTCCATATTTGGGAATAAGACAAATTTAGGATGAGCTTACTTAAACGTGAGGATGCTGGGGCGCCTGCGTGGCTCAGTCAGTGGAGTGTCCGATTCTTGATTTCAGCTCAGGTTGTGATCTCAGGGTGGTGAGATCCGTCTCCGCATCAGGCTCCTCACTGAACGTGGAGATTGCCTGGGATTATCTGTCTCTCCCTCTTCCTCTGCCCCTCCCTTCCCCGCAAGTGCTCACTCTCTCTCTTCCTCTCAAAAAATTAAATTAAATTAAAATATTAATTAAAAGTGAGGATGCTGCCTTTAAAAGTAGCATAGATACTTAAATTAATTTGACACTAATCAAAATGAACATTATCAATAGTTTACTATACACCAGGCAAGGTGTGAAATGCGTGATAAACATTATTTCATTTAATCTTCAAAACAACTCTATGAGGTAGATACTATTTTTATCCTGCTTTACAGAGGCTTAACAAAATTATACAATTTTGTTAAAGTTATTTGTTTATGCAGGGATTAGAACCTCTTTTAGTCTTATCACTATGATAAACCAGTTCCAATCTGGGAATAAACTGAAACGGTCTTTGCCTCAACTCTAGAAAAGACAAGGAGTAGCATTTTTTTTTTTTTTTTTTTTTGATGAATACTTCTCTTGTTTGATTTGTCTAACCAGATGTCTAGGATATTTCGACGTTCTGGAGGGAGTCGGTTTATCAAATCTCATGTCATCAAACTGAGGTATGTAAATTTAGTTTGCAACTTCAAACCTGTACCCGTAAGAAGTACTCCATCAGCAGGACTACCCAGCTCCTCCAAGCAAATCGCTGCAGGAAGACAGAGATTTCATAAACCCTGAGCAGTGCAGCTTCTACTGCATAGACATTTCCCAGTTACAATAGGAAGATGTAAAGTGCTCTATGTGAAGACGCAGTGTCAGTTATCAGGCAGTGGAAGGGGACGAATGGCACTGGTAACTTACCTACTCCTTCACCTCAGGGCTAAGAGGAATTTAGAACAGCTCTTTTCAATTATCCTCATTCTAAGCCTAGCCAACAACAACAGATGATGACTTTCTCTGCAATAAGGTTTTTCTTTAATGCCACTGGATTTTTATTATTATTTCTAATACCTTTTCATTTTTAGGTTCTGATAAAAGCCAATATGCATAAATTGAACATATATTTGTTGTAAGAGACTCAAATGAATTATTAGAATCCATCTCAAATATACTTTTTATATGATGTCCAAAATGCTTGGCATTTGCTGGCATAATATATCTTATTTTCTACCTATTTTGATAAAAAATTTTAAACTTTTTCTGTGGCTATCAATCAATATACGAATATAAGTATTTTTAATACTTATTTGTCTGCTTCACTTCTGGATGGTAGAGTAAATATACATGTGGTTAGGGAGCCCCTGTCTTTTCTTCTCTCTCCCTCTCTACTTTTGTTCCTTCCTTACTTTGCTTTCTCCCTCCCTCCCTCCTTCCTTCCTTCTTTGATTCTTTATCTGTTTTAAGATTAAAATCATCCTCAAAGGGCAACTGGAGGCTTTCTAGACCTATACATTATAGTATAGTATGTGTTCCCTTTATCAAAAGATTTCCTTTAATAAGTGCTTTCTCTAATTATCCACTTACCAAACACTTATTAACTGACCATCAAATCCCCCCCCAAATAAATGGCTTAACACAATAAAGGTTTACTTCATTTCCAAGGCAAAATCCAAAGAGTCAAAAGTGGCACTAGGGACATGGGTGCTGGGAGAGATGTGGAATGGAAATTGCCTACTGGACCTTAAGCATCTGGTAGGCAAATACAGGAAGAGTGAAAGCATGGAGGGTGGCATGAGAGGTGTCAGGGGCCAGACCAGAGGTGGGGTACATCTTTTCTGCCCACATTCCATTGCCCAGAATTCACTAGAGTTTTGATAAACTGCAAAGGAGGCCAGCAAATGAAATCTACCTCTGTGTTGAGGAGGCAAAGGTAACTGGGTTTCATGAACACAGAGCATTGTCTCTCCCATAACACTGCTGAAAAATGATGTTGGTTATGATGGCTCAGAATGTCTTGAAAAGCAAATTGTTTAAGTATATATAAAGCATGATTTGATGAACATCTCCTTCTCTCCCACTCCCCTGCAGACAATGAGCTAAGTAAAGAGCAAGAACAATTTTTTCAGCTACAAAAAATTTTCAGCCAGTATTTCTAGAGATAATTTAGAAATCTGAGATACACATATTTCATCCATTGTTTTTTAAAATTCAGTATGAATCTTAATAGGTAAAAGTAGTTAATGACTAGAGAGGTGGCTTTATCTCCTTTTTTGCTCTTCAGTCCAGATGAACACGGCGTGAAAATTCTTATGGTGCTCATGTTTCGATACCCATCTATTGATAGTGCTGAGCAAATCAAGAAAAAAATTGAAAGGATTTTATATCAAAGTCTGAAGACAAAACAATTGCCTTTGACTATAAACAAACCATCCTTTACACTCACATGTAAGTCCTTTTACTATCTTTGTGGTTCCCTTGTAATCCTGTCTATTTTTCATAAGAATTTAGGTCAGTGTCTTACATTTTAAGACTTCACCACTGATATAAACATATCAGTGTAGAATAAAACTAAAATAAAAAATCACTATAAGGCAAACTTTAATTTTAGAAATTTATTTTCATATTTGATTAGGACTTTTGCTAAGATTTCTAAGTTTTATCCAATATACCGTGTTGAATCTTTTCAAAAGCATGAGTAGATAAGTATTATTTTCTGCCTTTTTTAAAAGATTTTATTTGTTTATTTGACAGACAAAGATCACAAGTAGGCAGAGAGGCAGGCAGAGAGAGAGGGGGAAGCAGATTCCCCGCAGAGCAGAGAGCTGGATGTGGGGCTTGATCCCAGGACTCTGAGATCATGACCTGAGCCGAAGACAGAGGATTTAACCTACGGAGCCACCCAGGTGCCCCTATTTTCTGCCATTTTAAGGAAGCTGAGACTCAAGGATTAGCAAGCCTTAGGGTCAAAACTAAAGCACAGGTGTTCTGACTCCCCGAGGTCTTTACAGGTCACTTCCAGGGGTTATCTTCTACAGTATCAGGGAAACAAACATCTTTATGAAGGTTTACTCCTGGGAGACAAACCATTGAAATGATCTATGAAGAGGTTCTCTAGATTATTTCCAATTTAAAATAATGTTTCATTCATTTCCTCATTTATTCCTTACAAAAAAAAAATCTGAAAAGTTTTGGTTTTCCCCAAAAGTAGAAGAAAATGAGGTCAAAATGTTAAGAAATTGAAACTACCTCACAGGTAGTTGGAATCCAAGCAGAAAGGCATAATAATGTGTTTCAAATGATAAGTCTCAAGGTCAGTACACAGTACCTACTGTGCCTTTTTAGTTCCTTACCCGTCCCCCCAAACACTAGCATAAGTCTCGCACACAGGTGTTCCAGTTGTGTTCACTGTTCTGATTAAGTACTTCAAGGGCAGCTGTTTCTGATCTAGTACCAAGAAATAAGGCTTGCTCTTTGGACTGGAAAGTCTTTTCCCCTTAAGCATCCATGAGTTTAAGAAAAAGGTTATCCAAAGGTAATTTCTCTGTTGGAAATCAGGAAAATCCTTAAAATCCATTTTGAGATAGAAACTTCACACATATTAATGACAACTTTCATGAAGTAATTAGAAATAATGAAGAGTATGGTACCTACCTTAACTGTTAATTATATTCCAAAGTAAAACAAAACACCAAACCAAAACAAATAAACAAACAATGAAACTAAAATGAACAAGAGGAGAACTTTGAAGGGAAAAAAGATGTCAGAGAAGGGAGGCATAAAGTGGTATGGGTGGGTTCCTGGTGCCTGAGCTTCAACCTTCTACAACATCCATCTTGAGGAAGAATCTAACTTGTACTGAGTGAATTCCTATCCTTTGTAGACCAGGGCTGGAAATTGGGCTGTGAGGGACCTATGATGCCCTTATTTCTCTGGAGCTGCCCTTTCAACACTGGCCATCAGGCATACGCCTGACACACATTGGCTGGTACATCTAATACACTGAGCCCAAGCAGTGATGGGAATTGGAGGTTGCATCCTCGAGTTACACTGGAGCTCCCAAAGAAGGCAATCAGGGACATTTATCTTTAGCATTCTTTCCTAATTTCCTAATTTCTTTCTCAGATCTCATAGCAAAAATCAGAAAACAAAAATGCTCTCTTTACATTTTACGATAAAATTATACGTTTTGGACCAAATCAAATCAGAATTATGTATATATTAGTTGACTATGAAAAATATCATACTCTTGAAATACAGATGCTTTGGATAATAAACGTTTCTTACAGTGACCATTTGAACAAAATCACATAAAAACAGGAACATATTCTTCTACCAACTAATTCAATGTTTTCTTTATTCCAGCTATTGACAGTAAAAAGATGAGGAATCTTCTCAACAGCCGTAAGTTCCAAAACTCATAATTAACTATCCATTTCATAACAAAGATAGTGAATAAAAGCCACAGAAAAGTTAGAAGTAGAATTTATAAAGCCTTTTTTTGCTCACCTAATGTTTTTGTAAACCAAACACTTGGTGTTTTTATTACTGCTTATTTTTAATATTTCAAACATTTAAATTTTAAAATTTATACCAAATACAACATCGAGGTTTTTTAAAGTTTTTTTACATTTATTTTAGAGAGACAGAGAGAGAGAGACAGCACAGTGGGGAGAGGCAGAGCTAGAGGGTGAGAGAGAGAATCTCCAGCAGACTCCCCACTGAGCATGGATCCCGATGCAGGGCTTGATCCTAGAACACTGAGATCATGACCTGAGCCAAAATCAAGAGTCAGTAGCTCAGCCAACTTGTAAGATGCCCTTACAATTTCAAGTTTTATGACTTGCAGGAGGTAGTAAAAAAAAATACATATTATTATTGATACTATAAGTTTTGTAACTATCTTTCTAATGTATTTTAATAGTGGTAACTAGTTAGGTTTTCTTCTGTTATGATTTCTCAGTTTTCCTGTATTCTTGCTGAAATATCTGGCATGTACATTTTCTGCCTTCCTGCTTCCATTTCCTTTAACTCAACTTCTTATAAGATTATTGGGTCATAAACTTTAACTATAAATTCTATACACATTATTCCATTTTCTACTAGTGTTTTTTGTAGAGAAATATAAAACTGTTGCATTTTTTATTCTTACATAGGTTACCTTTTTTGTTCTGGGGTGAATGTAGGAAATCTTTTTCCCTTTAACTTTTTGCCAAGAGAGTGAGATGTAATCATATTTTGCACTGAATTTTGACTAGATATTATGAATGTTTTCAATCTGTATATATATTTTTTCTTGTTCTGGAAAAATGTTCTTCCATTATAAATTTGATGAATGATTTCCATTCCAATTGTTCTATTTTTGTTGCTGTTCCTCAGGAACACAGGTTATTTATTTGAATTCCATTTTCTGCCCTCCATGTCAATCATTATTTCTAGTTCCAGTTCAGGTGACTTTCCTCTGCATTCAGAAAGATCTTACCCATTATGTACTCCCCAAAACCACTTATCTCAGTTGTCTAGTGTCATTTTTTGTCTTCTTCCATGTGAATTTTATATCTCCTATGATTTGTCTATGATTTCTTGAATTTTATTTAATTACAGACAGCTCTTATGTTATATATACTCTCATCACTGTATATTTTTTCCCTTATGTTTGGCTGCTTTTGTTACACTAAGATCATGTTTTCTTGCACAACTTGCCTGATACCAAACACATGCTCTAAAATTTTTTGTAGAAAATAACTTTCAGAGATGTGTCTGTCTTCTGATTTTATATATCATCTGATTTGGGGGGCCCTAACCATGCTATACAGTTGGATGCAGGCTTAAGTTTTGACCGTAGATGCAGAGTTTATGAAAACTACATCAACCTCCCAGTTTGCACCACCAAATATAGCACTGATGCCAGTGCTCTTCCATTCACGGTTTAAATTGCTTTCATGGGGCATCTCATTCCATTCTTGGTGCCATAACCAAATATCATGGGCTGGGTGGTTTACAAATAGCAGAAATTTATTGCTAACAGTTCTGGAGGCTGGAAGTGTCAGATCAGGACGCCAGCACGGCTAGGTGAGGCACCTCTTCCAGCTCACAGATTTCAAGTATCATCATGCCATGAGCAGAAGGGGCTAGGGATCTCTCTGGAAACTCTTTTTTTTTTTAAGATTTTATTTATTTATTTGACACAGAGAGATTGAGATCACAAGTAGGCAGAGAGGCAGAGAGAAAGCGGGAAGCAGGCTCCCTGCTGAGCAGAGAGCCCGATTTGGGCTCGATCCCAGGACCCTGAGACCATGACCTGAGCTGAAGGCAGAGGCTTAACACACAGAGCCACCCAGGCGCCCCTCTCTCTGGAAACTCTTTAATAAGGCAGTTGGACTCTTTAATAAGGCATAATCCCATTCGTGGGATTCAGGGCTCCACCCTGGTGAGTTAAGCATTTCCCAAAGTCCTCACCTGCTAATACAATGACCTCGAAGAGTCAGGATTTTAACATAAATGTGAGGGGTTCACGTTCAGACCACTTCATGGGGTAACTGCATTTTCATAGAACTTCTCATCTTTTCTGTATGTCCTGATAGGATGGTGTGCCAGGAAATGTGGTTTCTGCATACATAGAGAGGAAGAAAAGAGTTTATGAGTCACAGTGGGATGGTTTAAACTATAGTTTCTGCTTGGCTAGGAACAAGTGCAGTGTAGCTTAATTTCCTGGGCCAAGGAATCACAACAGCAGGGAGCCAAAGGCTTTGTCAAGCTTACCAGGATTCCCCACACAATTCTGGTTCACAGGTTAGAGCTTGCGTAGTCCAAGAAATTGCTTTCAAACCCCTTTGGATATTGCAGTTTTTACCAGAATTTGTAAAATTTTTTTTCTTATCTTTCCATAAGTTTTCATGAATTTTCTCCTTTTGCCTTTGAAAAATAGCATAGACTCAGATTTTTCATCTACAATATGAGGATGACACCTAACATAGACAGTTGTTATGAAAAGTGGAGAAAATATGGGACGCCTGGGTGGCTCAGTTGGTTAAGCAGCTGCCTTCAGCTCAGATCATGATCCCAGCGTCCTGGGATCGAGTCCCACATCAGGCTCCTTGCTTGGCGGGGAGCCTGCTTCTCCCTCTGTCTCTGCCTGCCATTCTGTCTGCCTGTGCTTGCTCTCTCTCCCTCTCTCTCTGACAAATAAAAAAAAAGAAATCTTTAAAAGAAAAGTAGAGAAAATATATGTAACACGACATATAGGGCCTGGCTCAAAACTAGTAGATATTATTTATATTAGTGTTACTTCTATGCCTATTTTAAGAGGAAGTTGGGCACTACCAAAATGGCATTATATTAATCCAGAAATCCTATTTGTTCAATTTTATGGTCACTTTAAACTGGAGCTATTTAATTCTGAGAAAATTATGATGAATCTATAAATATGATTTCAGGCATATATTTTAACCTGTTTCTGAAAAAATTCCTTTTTGAAAAAACTAGTATTTTTGATAAAAATATAAATAATTAAAAGTTCCATTAATAGGGGCTCCTAGCTGGCTAGTCGGTAGAGCTTGAATGTGGGGTCATGAGTTTGAGCCCCACATTAGGTATAGAGCTTATTTTAAAAAGATAAAAATAAGGGTGCATGTGTGGCTCAGTCAGTAAAGTATCTGACTTGATTTTGGCTCAGGTAGTGATCTCTGTCAGGGTCCTAAGATTGAGCCCCATATTAAACTCTGGGCTCAGCACAGAGTCTGTTGTCCCTCTTCCTCCCCCTCTGCTCTTCCCCTCACTAACCCCCTCACTCCTTTCTCTCTCTCTCATAGATAACTAAATATATAAATACATAAATAAATAAAATCTTTAAACAAATAAATAAAAAAATAAAAGTCACATTAATAAAATATATCAATATGTTTTCAGGTCTTATTGAGGTTGATTGAACTCTAACAAATTCAGAGTTTGTTGCCAGGGAGTCAGATTTTTTTTTAGAAACTAGACTTTAAAGTTTTAGAAAACCAAAAATATCATTATTAAGACTATTTAAATTCCGGGCTTGCAAAGGCAATGTATAATGTATAAATTCAATGTATAATTTCATGTCAAGGGAGAAGCATGACCTGCATTCAGTACTGGGCTCTCTCTCAGGGGCAAGAACACACAAATTTGATGTAGATCCTCTTAATCTTAAGTCACTTACCAGCTGGGTGACCTCTATTAATTTAAGTTCTCTTTCCAAGGCTCCGTTTGTGTTGTTATAAATAAACCTAAAACATTTAGTAGAGGATCTATCTATTTTTAATGCTCAATAAATGTTTTATCTATTTATCCATCTATATATGCTTAATAGAGAATCTAATTCCCGGGCTGGAGGCCTTGGCCTGTTAGTATTTCTTTTAAACCTCAGCAGGATCAGGTTGACCCCTATAGACTAACCTCAGATGCTGAGTCCTAGGAAGGGGTTAAAAACAGCAAGTACAATGGACTGCCAAAGCATCTGTACCCAGTGCAAATCAGCATATGTTCTTTTCCTCCTCTTTTCCATGAAGACGAGCTAACATATATTTCTATGACAGGCTGTGGAATAAGGATGACATCTTCAAATATGCCTTTACCAGCATCCTCCTCTACTGAAAGGATTGCCCAAGGGAGGGAAAAAGCTCTGGAAGGGGAGTGGCCATGGCAGGTCAGCCTCCAGCTCAAAGGGGCAGGCCATCAGTGCGGAGCCAGCCTCATCAGTAACACCTGGCTGGTCACAGCAGCTCACTGCTTCCGCAAGTAAGTTCGCAGGGCTGCTGTGAGTCTTCCTTGCCCCGTCATCGCCTGTCACCAATTCAGCACTTGGGAAGAGTCCAGCTCAGCAGTTTCCCCTCTACTCCATTCCAAATGGGTCCTGCTCTGTCCTCTGAATGCATGACGCTTGCTCTACACTTCCTTCACGCGCTCCCCTCTCTCTTTTCTCAATATTTATGAAGTTTGGTTTGTATCATTCTCATGGTTCCTAGAACATATTTTCCTATATTGTCATGACACTAGCTTTATCTTTCCTACTATATCATAAATTATTTTAGTGTAAGGACTGACTGTTATACACATAACAAGTATAAACTCTTCCACATGCTCAAGGAGAAAATTCAGCTGCTTCTGTTATCATTCTTTTCTCCTGAGTAACATATACAGTTGGATGCAGGCTTAAGTTTTGATCTTAGGTGTAGAGGGCCTCTAACAGAGGGCTATCCTCCCTCTGTCAACATCCACCATCACTTTAAAAATAAGAAAAAAATAAAGGGTATCACTCTTGGAGCTCTTCCTTCAAGAACCCATGTGGGCTCTGTGGTCCAGAAAGGTGTATAGATGACTGGAGGGACCTATCACCTGTCCCATTGTCCCCACCATATTGAAGACTGGTCCTATACGACCTGATAAGAGTGCGATGCTTAGGCTTTCACAGCTATAGTTTTTAAGACTCAACTGTGTTAATTTACATGCATGCACCTGGGGCACCATGTTGCCCCAGGAGGTCAAGCACACATCATCTTTCCTCCCTGAGATTTCTTTTAAACTCTCAAAAGACAAAAGCTCTGAGTAAAGCCCTGGCCAGTGGCACTGTTCACATTCCCTTTCAGAGAAAACTATGCTTGGTAATATGAGGAGAGTCTTGACCATTCTTCCAAGGGTAACACCCAAATTGTTCCAAGGTGGCTACACCTTTCTTTATGTGTAGAGGTATAATGAGAATGACCTCAGGAATTTAAGGTGATTGTCACTCTCTCACTAGAGAAGAAAAAAGAGATTCACTTATATACATTTACAGTCCTCAGAATAACTAGCATTATGCCTTGGAGGAACTTGAGTTCCACTAATTAAAGGCTTTCTGATTTGGGGGGTTAACATAGTCCTCCAAGCTTTGTACTTGTTTTGGAGAGTGACTTCCATTTTAGTTTATGACAGACCTTTATTTACATAAATTTAACATAAATAAACCCAGAATGTCAATTTATTAATATCTAGTGAGGAATATAAGATACAGGGATTGAAGTACACATCTCAGCAGGTCCAGGGCGGCCTCTGTGTGACAACAGACCTAACAGGAACCAGCCACTGAGTGTGATAAAGTAGAGATAACTGGTGACCTTTATAAAAGAAATCAGTATTGTAGTATAATGGGGATGGGAATAAATTTAAGACAGAATGGAAGAAAGACTGGGATACTGTGAGTTTAGAGATTTTTCAGGAGCATAATCCCAATAGTTGGGAGAAATACAATCTCGGTCTCTTTTAAAGGGTGCCCTTAAACATCACAAGCCTGACCCTTTCATTTTTTGCAGAAATAAAGACCCAAGTCAATGGGTTGCTACTTTTGGTACAACGATAACACCACCTGCAGTGCAACGAAGCCTGGGGAAAATTATCGTTCATGAAAACTACCACAGAGAAACAAATGAAAATGACATTGCTTTGGCTCAGCTTACTACTCGAGTTGAGTTTTCAAATATAGTCCAGAGAGTTTGCCTTCCAGATTCATCTATAAAGTTGCCACCTAAAACAAGTGTTTTTGTCACAGGTTTCGGATCCATTGTAGATGATGGTGAGTAGTTCAATCTAATATACTTAGTGCAAATTTGTCTTGAGCTCTAATGAGCTGTCCTAGGGAATCCATTTTCAAACTTTTCATAAAAATAATGTTGATATCTCCAGTGTATATGGCCCAGAGTAGAATTGGAAGCTGCAGGTTAAAAAAGGAAAAGGAATCAGGTCTCTTTCGTTGAGTTCACAATTAATCATAGCAGTGGAGAGAAAGGGGAGAAGCTAATATAGAAGAAAATAACAGACTGTTTTAGGTGCTACAAGAAGGGACAAAATACTATGGGCTACAGGGGAGTAAATGATTCTAAATTGTACATTTCCCAGATGTAGAAACTCCTAGTTAGCATATAGTTCAGATCACGATCTTAATGATAGCTTTTTTAAAAAAGATTTATTTATTTATTTATTTTAGGGAAAGAGAGTGTATGCATGCAAGTGAGAGGAGGGACAGAAGCATAGGGAGAGAAGGAAAAAGAGAGAGAGAGAGAATCTCAAGGAGATTCCACACTAAGCACAGAGGGCAACACAGGGTTCGATCTAACAACCCTGAGACCATGACTTGAGCTGAAACCTGAGTCAGAAGCTTAACAAGCTGAGCCACCTAGGCACCCAGTGATAGCTTTTTTCTTTTTGCTTTTCCTTTTTTTTTCCTTTCTTTTCTTTCCTTTTTTCTCCTTCTCTCTCTCTCTCTCTCTCGCTCTTTTGTCTAAATGTTTCCTCATTTTAATGAGGATTTCTGACGATTATAAATGTAAAAGTGTTTTGTGAATGTTTTGAGAATTTTCATTTCGGTTAGTTAATTTAACATATATTTTCATCTGTCTCAGCTCCTGGGTGGGTGAAAGAAACAAGTTCTATAAATGAAAGACCAGAACTGAAAATTTTTAGTTATTAGCTCATTCCACTCTAAAGAGAGAGATTAGCTGAATGTTTTAAAGTGGGAAATAAGAAATGTTTAGGGTTCTATCAAAGATCATCCTGAAGAGAGTTAAGAGACAAATGCTAATATATCTTAATCTGGCTTTTTTTTTCTTTGTTTTTCTTTATTTTTAAAGATTTTATTTATTTATTTGAGAGAGAGAGAGAGACCACAAGCAGGGGGTTGGTGAAGAGGGAGAAGGAGAAACCGACTCCCTGCTGAGCAGGGACCCAGATGCAGGGCTGGATCCCAGGACCCTGAGATCATGACCTAAGCTGAAGACAGACACTTAACCAACAAAGCCACCCAGGTGCCTCTGGCTTTTCTTTACTTGACAAAACTCTATTATACATAAAATTTCCCAAAATGCCCCATGCATGTCCAACTGGACTTTGTGAGATGTTGCTAAGAGTCTCCTTTCATGTTCTCTGCCCTTATCACTAGTTTAGGACTACTCACCAACAGTTTTGTTCTGGAGTCCTAAGCTACTTCTTTCCTTCCCATAACCACCAGCCTTGCTCTGTACTGGCATCAGATTGCTGGCATATCTTGGGCAGTGGTTGTTTCCCAAGCTTCAGGGCACCCCTAAATAATGCACATAGCACAGAATAGGGCAAGTAGCTCTGTGCAGCTCATGCACTGGTTTCTTTTTGACTATCTCAGAAAACAAATGGACTTCCCTTAGCCTTGATTTCCTTATATAGAAAAGGGTACCAGTTGGTCAAGATGAGTGGAATGAACCCTCTCTTCATGGAAAAAATGTGTATACACACACTATTACATATAATTGTAGGGGTTCTAATAACTTGAAGATTCACAAATATGATATAGTATTGGGGTATGTAGGTTTATAGTTCCTTGCATTTAGGCATTTATCATACAGAACATAAATTGGGCAATAAGTAATTATAATTAATGTTTATATTCTTTTGCTTTTGTGTTTTTGTTCCTAGGAATATACAACATATGTGTTTTCCATGTTTTAGATACAGTTATATTCAAAGAATACATGTTTTATTTGTATGTGTATGTTTGCTTGTGTAATAGGACCCACACAAAATAAACTTCGGCAAGCCAGGGTGGAAACCATAAGTACTGATGTGTGTAATAGGAAGGATGTATATGATGGCTTGATCACTTCAGGAATGCTGTGTGCTGGATTCATGGAAGGAAAAGTAGATGCATGTAAAGTAAGTCCAAAGTCAAGGGCAAAACTTGGAAAAGAAAATTTCCACTAGCTATTTCTAAATTTGGCATATATTTCCCCTAGGTGAGGAAAGAAGTCACTTATTTCACTAAGAATTCAGTTTATTTAATAATCATAATATTAAAAATTCTTGTATTGAGTGCTTATGTAGGCCAAGCCAAGTGCTAAGCACATTATATATATTATTTCATTTACTATAGTGAAATTGAAGAGGTACTGTTATGCCTATTTTATAAATTAGGAGATTGAAGTCTTTTGCTCCCTATTTCTGATTCAAACAATTACTCTTCTGTTGTTTTTTGTTTTTTGTTTTTAAACGAGATTGGAAACAGAAGACAGAGAAACCTGTCCTCTGAAGACCACTTTATTCAGCTTTGGCATCATCTCTCTTGCATCTTATTTTCATCCCCTGGACTCCAAGTCTCTCTCTTTGTCCCTACCACTCTTCAATGACCTTGACGCCTGAAACACGCTTCCTCTCCATCCCAAGACTGCAGTAGTAACACAGACCCGTTGAAATGCTGGACTCTCAGATACTAGACCTCCTACCCCCCATTGATCTTCACTTCTTCTCAGTCACTATTTCTAGGATCGCATCTTGAGCCTTGTCACCAAAAATTGTTGCATCTCCAAAAATACGAATTCCCCAAATCTTCCTATTTAACAATTATCTTCAATCCTTCCTGCTTGCATTTCAAACTATTCCTGCTCCCTAGGCCACACTCTCTATTACACCCCAACCTACCAGTCTTCACCCCCAAACATACATGCCACACATATGTAGACTGAATTCTTTCATTGTTTTATTTTGCCCTTTAGCTTTTATCACCATCCAGTATACAAGATATTTTATTTAGATAGTTGATTATTTCTCCCACTAAACTAGAATATAAACTCCATGAAGGCACAGATTTTGAGACGGTGTCTGTTTGATTTACTACTGTATTACCAAGAGCTAACACAGTGCCTGGCACCAGAATTTGTTGGCTGAATAAAATATCACTTATCTTCAACTTCATAAGGACCTACAGACCATTGCTTCTCTGCCTTATCACGTTCCATTAATCCTTCCTCCCACTATCAATTTGTCCAACTTAGATTTCACTATTAATCACTTTCTGAACACTTCTGCTAATATTTCAAGTTCTCTTGTTGATCTCTCTTTTCAGTGTTTCTGTCTGACGAAGTCCCAAAGCTGGAAGAACTTATCTAATCTCTTTTTCTCTCTGCCTACACCTATGAAGTCAAATGCTCCTGGAAAAAATACAACAGAACACATTGGTTCTAGATAATAAAAGTGACAATCCTACTATTTTTGTTTGTTTTTTTCAAATCCACCTTTCTCTGAATGTTCCCAGCATTTTCCACTTTCCCTAATTTCTGTGGGGTTTTTTTACCTTTTTGTTCTCAACTGATGATTTTGTTTTCCAGTTTTCAAAGAAAAATGTAAGTCATAAGCAGAGAATTTCCTCATCTTCCTAACACCAAGCAGGCAGACCTACCTTCATTTGAACCCATTTTATCCACCTTCAGCTTAGGTCACAACAGAAAAGTAACCTATTTTCTAAGGCTGATCCCTTCTCTGCTCAGGTTCTTCTTGGCCTTTTGGGGAAGTTTACATTAACATTATTTTCTCTCTTTTCATAGTCAACATTTCTCTTGTAGCTAGATCCTTTTCTATTTATCTCTCTTAAGTTAGGTGGAAAAACAACAACAACAACAACTTTTTCTTGACCCATAATGCCTCCAACCAGCACCACACCTTATCTCTTTACTATGAAATATTGGGGGAAATGTCCATACCCATTATCTCAATTTTCTCACCTCCCTTTAAACCATCCCAATATGGTTTCTGCCCTATCACTTCATCAAAATAGCTCTTCCTGAGGTTTCCACTGACCGCCCCATGACCTCCAATAAATGTATTTTTTCCATTTCATTTTATTTTATTTCTTTTCAGTATTCCAAAATTCATTGTTTATGTACCACATTCAGTGCTCCATGCAATACGTGCCCTCCATAATACCCACCACCAGGCTCACCCATCCCCCACCCCCCTCCCCTTCAAAAGCCTCAGTTTGTTTCTCAAGTCCACAGTCTCTCATGCTTTGTCTCCCCCTCCTATTTCCCCCAACTCACTTTTCCTCTCCATCTCCCCATGTTCTCCATGTTATTCCTTATGCTCCACAAGTAAGTAAAACCATACGATACTTGATTCTTTCTGCTTGACTTATTTCACTCTTCCAGTCCCATCCATGTTGATATAAAAGTTGGGTATTCATCCTTTCTGATGGAGGCATAATACTCCATTGTATATATGGACCATATCTTCTTTATCCATTAGTCCATTGAAGGTCATCTTGGTTCTTTCCACAGTTTGGCAACTGTGGCCATTGCTGCTATGAACATTGGGGTACAGGGGGTCCTTCTTTTCATTACATCTGTATCTTTGGGGTAAATACCCAATAGTGCAATTGCAGGGTCATAGGATAGCTCTATTTTTAATTTCTTAAGGAATTTCCACACTATTTTCCAACTTGCATTCCAACACTGTACCAACTTGCATTCCCATCAACAGTGTAAGAGGGTTCCCCTTTCTCCACACCTTCTCCAGTACTTGTTGTTTACTGTCTTGTTAATTTTGTCCTATTCTTACCACCCCCCCCCACCTCTTAGCACCATTTAATAATGATTACCTCTCCCTCTTTCTTGTCTTCCTTGGCTTGTAATGATTTTCATCTTAAATCTCTGCTTTTTCTCTTTCCTTTCCTTTCAAGTTCATTCTCTTAATCCTAGCCATTAAATTTTAATCTATTCTGTCCCTGCTCCTCTTTTTATGCTATACTTTCTCTCTAAAAGATCTAACTTTCTTCCTTAGCTTCAAATGCCATCCTTTGACAGATGATTCACAAATTTATACTTTTAGTCCCAACCTCCCCTTTGATCTCCAGACTTACACATTCAACTCCTACTTGGCAACTGCTCTTGGATATTTCAAAGGTATCTCAAATTCAGAATAGTACACCTGATTTTGCTTTTCTGCCTCCCCACCTGATTTTCTTTCTTTGTCTCTAGGAACAACATCTCCTTTAATTCTGTTCAGCCCCAGATAGAAGGCACTCTAGCTTTCTTTCCCTACCCCTTACCCAATTGATTACCTAATCCCAAGGATTTTACCTCCTTAAATATCTCTGTCATCTCTTGCTTCCCTTTCCCTACTTTTTCCTTACCGCTCCCTCAAAGGAATTAGACATCTAGCTAATTTCCTTGTATTCACGCTTATGCTCCTTTACTGCATTAGTCAAATGAAAGCCAGGATGATTTCTAATAAGGTGCTAATCTGATCATGTCAAAATCCTTAAAACACTTCAGTGGCTTACCTTCTTTCTTAAGATAGAAAATATAACTTCTAAGAAAGATCCACAGGGTTCCTCAAGAGCTAGTCTCCTGACTTCTCCGGCTTCATCACATACCACTTGCCCCCTTGCTGTCTTCTCTTCAGTCCCCCTTTTTTATTCCCCAGACTTTTGCATATACCAGGCTCCTCCATACTACAGAGCATTTGTAGTGTTGTTTGCTCTGCCTAGAACATGTTATATCACCACCTTCCTTTTCATGGTTAAATCATTTAGATATCAACTCAATTACATCTCATCAAGAAAAACTCTCTTGACCTCCCTGACCAGTCACATTCCCCTATGTATGTTTCCTTAGCATTTATCATAGCTGTCACTTTGCATTTATTTATGGGCTTGTTTAATGTTTTTATAACCTAAACTTCAAGTTTATGAGTATGGGGACCATTCACTTTCAGTCATCATTGAATCCTGAATGCCCTTCAAAATGCCTGGGACACATAATTGGAACTCAATAGATAGTTGATAAAAGAACAAATGAATGAGACAGAAGGGGCACAGAGAAGTTAAGTATCTTATCTTATCCTAAGTCATACAGTCCGTAATTAATAGAGCTAGTCCTGAAACCTAACAGTTCAACTACTAAGACCACTCTTTCAATCTCTACATGTGTATCTGTTTATTTACAAAGTTGTCCTTGTTCCATACAGATTTAAAGGGGCTTATATAAAATTAAGCAAGCAAGCATAAATTAGAATTAAGGGCATGAAAGACAAGGAGACCAAGAATCAATCTATAATATAGAGTCTACCTAACAATATTCAGAGAGCATCAAAACTTTTCACCTATTCTTGCAAATGTTAACTTCATATTTAATATTTTATACACATACTTACTAAACCATGCATGAAGTGTCTAATCAAACTAACAAAAAAAAAATCTAAGAATGCTGAACCAGAAATAATGTAAAAATTCCATGTGAATGAGGTTTAGTTTTTCTGGTAAACAATGCACTTTAATGTTTAGGACAAAATTGCATCTCAATTCAGAGAAACATTATATAACCTATATCTAATCTGGATGCCTATGCCATGTACTAATTTCCTTTTTTTTTTTCCCTGTGGAAGAGAGAGGATTGTAATGACCTTCCTCCTAAATTAAATTAAAGTTAATAATTTTAAATATATTTTTTTTTCCAAGGGTGATTCTGGTGGACCGCTGGTTTATGATAATCATGACATCTGGTACTTAGTTGGTATAGTAAGTTGGGGACAATCATGTGCTCTTCCCAAAAAACCTGGGGTTTATACCAGAGTGACTCAGTATCGAGAATGGATTGCCTCCAAGACTGGTATCTAGTGTGAACTGCCCATGAACTCTATCCATGGCACATGAAGCTGAAATGCCTGCATATTGTATATTATTTATAATCATGTGGTTTGGATCAGTGGTTTTTCTGGATGTCAAGAAATCCTCTGACTCAGACCAATCTAGTATCACAAGGTGATCTTTGCATACAAGTGACTGAACTCTTTCTCTGCCCTGAGGGAGGAAGACACAGCAAACAGCAATAACACCAACTCTTCACTCACAAGAGAAACTGTGATACTTATTAATAAGATCAGTATTTATAAATGGTTTCCCCCAATGGAAGACAAAGAACATCATTTTTCACAAGATATGAGGAGCTGCTGGGGCTGCCAAAAACCTACTGTACCTGGAGCACCTGTAACTCTTGTTGCAAAATATCACTCCCTGAGAATTCAGAGTTTCAACATTCTGGGACTGATAGCTGGACATTCAATGGCTAGAATGGAAAAACACGGATTTACAATATAACTTGAACTCCAACCTGGGTTTGTGAATAATAATACAAAGGATTATCATTAACAAGAAGAGTTGCCACTTAAAAATATTTGAGTATATCTGAACTTACTGTTAATATTGTTATATATGCAAAAACTAGCTTCAGGAAGCATGTTGTATTGTTAAGAAACATTTCTGATTTATTCTTTAATAGCATCTTGCCATTCATATATCAATTGAAGTTAGACCAGAAAGAAGGAAAAAGAAGAAACTTGGGAGCATTCTTCCATGTGTATGAGAAAGATAAAAAGATGAGACATAGGTTAGCATAGATAAAAAGACGGGACATAGGCTAGCAGAGTTGCTTTCAAAAGATTAACAGCAGGAAAAACACTCCTCAGATTTTTGGTGGAATGAGCTATCCAATTATTTATTTAGAAATATCTACATTAGCAGATGGTAACTGGTACCTCTGTAAGTCTTTAGCTCTCTGACAGGTCAGATATTTATCATGTCAGGAGAATTGATTTGTATAAGCACTTAGGACAGTACTTCATATATATTAAAGACAGCATGGATGTTTCCTGTATATGGAGGAAAGGAAAGCCTCTGTGAGCTTTAAGATAAATTAATTTAATTTGTCAAATGAGTAAATGACGTTGGGGCTTAAATATAGCCCAGAGTCTAGTGGTAAAGAGCACAGGCTTTGGAAACAGACTGCCCAAGCTTAAATATTGGCTCTGCCCCATATGAACTGTGTGTCCTTGCACAGGTTTCTTTCTTTTTTTTTTTTTTTTTTTTTTTTTTTTTTTTTTTTT